GACACCCCAGCACTGCGCCTCGTACCCCAGCACAGGACAGGATACCCCAGCACTGCGCCTCGTACCCCAGCACAGGACAGGATACCCCAGCACTGTACCTCGTACCCCAGCACTGCGCCTCGTACCCCAGCACTGCACTGGACACCCCAGCACAGCACCTCGTACCCCAGCACTGCACCTTGTACCCCAGCACTGCACAGAACACCCCAGCACTGCGCCACGTACCCCAGTACAGCACAGGAGACCCCAGCACTGCACCTCGTACCCCAGCACAGCACCTCGTACCCCAGCACAGGACAGGACACCCCAGCACAGCACCTTGTACCCCAGCACTGCGCCACGTACCTCAGTACAGCACAGGAGACCCCAGCACTGCACCTCGTACCCCAGCACAGCACAGGAGACCCCAGCACTGCACCTCGTACCCCAGCACAGGACATGACACCCCAGCACTGCACCTCGTACCCCAGCACTGCACCTCGTACCCCAGCACAGCACCTCGTACCCCAGCACTGCACAGGACACCCCAGCACTGCGCCACATACCCCAGTACAGCACAGGACACCCCAGCACTGCACCTCCTACCCCAGCACAGCACAGGACACCCCAGCACTGCACCTCATACCCCAGCACAGGACAGGACACCCCAGCACAGCACCTCGTACCCAAGCACAGGACAGGACACCCCAGCACAGCACCTCGTACCCCAGCACTGCGCCTCGTACCCCGGCACTGCACTGGACACCCCAGCACAGCACCTCGTACCCCAGCACAGGACAGGACACCCCTGCACTATACCTCGTACCCCAGCACTGCGCCTCGTACCCCAGCACCGCACTGGACATCCCAGCACAGCACCTCGTACCCCAGCACAGCACAGTGTGTCGGTGCATGTGGGCCCTGTACGCACCCTGCAGTGGAGCTCCTGTCTGCGGCTCCGGGCTCTGCTCTGCTGGACGTGACCCACGGGGCCACTGCCTCTCGCGTCAGGGCAGGAGGTCGGCCCTCGGCCCTCCCGCGCTGTCTGGGACCCGAGCTGCGCGGCTGACTGCCGGTGTGTGGAGTGATGAAGACTCTCCACGATGAGGGACTGTTTGCACCTGTTCCGTCAGAAGGGCTTGGAGCAGGTGCTCACAGAGCTTGTAGCGTGTGTATTTATTACTTTTATATATGACTCGTTATATTTTTAAAGAATCTTGTGTCTATGCTAGATGTATAATATATACCTGTGACATACCATATCACCTCGCTCTGCACATTGCATAACTGTTTCTCTCTGTCCAGGACTCCCATCTCCTCCTCTCTCTTCTACTGCTCCTCTCTCTCCTGTTCCCTTCCCCTCTCTCCTGTTCCTCCTGCTCCATCTCCTCCTCTCTCTCCTGTTCCCTTCCTCTCTCTCCTGTCCCTGCTGCTCCATCTCCTCCTCTCTTTCCTCCTACTGCCCCTCTCTCTCCTGTTCCCCTCTCTCTCCTTTCCTGCTGCTCCATCTCCTCCTCTCTCCTGTCTCCTCTCCTCCTCTTCTCCCCTCCATGTACAACTCCTCTCTCTCGTTGAACAGGAGCCAAATGAATCCACAACCATTAGAACATCAGAAGCATCTTAATCTTCTGAAATGAGAAAAATAAAGCCGTGAAATTTTCTTCCAGTGCTGCACCCGGTTCTCTGTCTTTTCTGATGTATCAATTCACATATCTAGCAAGACGTGTGTCTTTCAGACCCCTTAAAGACCCAATCAAAATCATGAGCCAGAGGACACAAGCTGGAAGAATGTGGACATGCATACAAATGTCTGTACACAAACGGTGGTGGGGGTATGGAACATCCCGCCATGTTGTTGAAGCCGGTACCCTGGCTTCATTCAGGAAATGACTGGATGAGACCCAGAGATCAGTTAGCTCCTAACTACTAAATGTGTCAGATGCACCGAATGACCTTTCGTTTGTAAGCCTTCTTGTGTCCTTAGGGGTTCTCGCAAAACCACAAAAAAAGATCGTTGTTGACAAGAGGAAACACGTTCCTTCAAAGATTTAAAAACACGAAACAAAATTCTCAATGGACAGCTGTGCTTCCTGGAAAGAACATTCAACTTAAACCCCACCCATCCCTGAAGGATGTTATAATTTGTGATAATTGGGCCAGGGCAAAAACACGGCATTTCTTTCCCAAAACACGGCACGTAAACCACAGCCGTCCCCAGTTTCCGCTTCCGGGCTTCCCGAGACGGCAGGCGCGCACGCAGTGAAGAAGGCGCGAGACCCGGGCGTTGCACCCGCTCGGTGTCCTTCGCGCGGCGGCTCCTGCCCACTCAGGCCCGCGGAGTACAGGGTTTCTCAATACAAACCACACAATGGCCGATGTTCAGGATGTGTGTGTTTTTTCTGTCAGACGTGGAAAAGACGAGCCTTGACGGTTCATCATACTGTAACGCTTACGGCCGACAAGCAGTGTGTGTAAGAGCCGGAGTACCAGAGCGGGTGACGTCACCGCCCTTCCCTGTGATAGCAGGACCACAGCTACTGGGCTGTGGAGAGATCTCTCTTTGGCTCACGGGGCTGGGTCGCTGCAGAGAGACGCGGGAGTCCCGGGTTCGAGCCTCCAGGCGGGATGGGGCCGACCAGATGCGGCAAGGGCGCCCGCCAGAGCCCCCGTTGCGTTACAATACGTTGGCGGCCCTTCATTTAAAAAATGGCGCAGTAGTTCTGGGAGTGAGGACCGAGGCCGTGTCGCTGACGAGGTGGAGTCTTCAGGGCGCCCACGAGCACGCGAAAGAAACAAACAGGAACTCGGGTGGGGAGATTTTTCTATTGCGCAGCGAGGGAATTATTCCCTCCCCCCCACACGCGTTTATTTCACGTCAAATAATACAAACAAAAGAGAAAGGGCATCCAAAAATTGGATCAAGAAAAATAAAACAGAACGGTACGCTGCCAGAGCTCATTACACACCAGATCGCAATGAGATTTTTACACGCATCAGCTGTTTCTCATTTATTTTTCGGGTTTTTAATGCTGTTCAAGTCATATTAAATTTCCATCTTATAAGCGTTAAAGGAGAGAGTAGCATGAGACCATTTTGAACAATATATCTACCGGGTACACATTTGGTATAAATGTTAATGTCCCATAGAACTTCTTTGAAAATATAACATAATTTCAAACTCCTTGAATCTAACATTCACATTTAAAGGCTTACAGATACAGTTCTGCAAGCTTATGCTTCGTCTATGCAGATCAATAGATCTGGCCCAGGTTTGGCGTCTTGCTCATGTTAATCGGTTTGAAGTTCAGTCGCGTCAGCCTTCCAGTCCTGGCCCAGGGCGCAGGGAGTCCATCCAGTCGATCCCAGAATGGTTTAATGGCAGTGGCTTAATTAGGAAAAGTCAATGGGATTTAAGTGAATTCAGTCTGTAAAACATGTAGGACTGTGTCCCTCCCCACCACCAGGGTCAGGCACCACTGATCTATGGCAGTCGTGATCACTCGTGTTGTATCTGTCCCGTTTAATCATTTGTCGTAGCTTTGTGTGTCTTGGTTGTGGAGAGCGCAAATGCCGCGATTCAATCGGAATGGAGGTGTTGCCGGTCGCGTCTACAATGGCGCCATCTAGTGGCCCTCCCTGCACGGCGCGCGAACACTTGTCCGAACCCGGATGCGGTCTGCGCGCGGACGGCGGAGAGTTTGTTGACTCCTGCACAGCCAGCAGCACGCGGTCTCCATCTCCTCCTTCATTTTTCAGATTTTGAGTTTCAAAGAAGATTAAACAACATTGAGGTGCTCATCTTCGTGGGTCACGACTGGAAACTTCAATGTACACTCCTGTAGAACGTCGTCATGGTCTGTATTACTGTTGAAATACATTGATTCTTATGGAGAAATATATCGCAATTAACGTCCCCCTAGGAATATTTATGTCCTCTCGTCCCTATAACCCGTATTTCCGCAGTTTCTTGATGGAATTTATTCCCTGCTTAACGTCGCCATTAAGGATGGTAAACGAGGTTAATGTAAATTATGTTTGTGTGTCCTGTATTCGGATTCATTGCACAAACATTTTTGAGGATGTAGGCAGCAATTGAGGCTTAATAGCGGGGAAGAATCTTGTTAAATGAAAGGTCTCTGCCTGTACTTTCACATTCAGTTAGTTTAAGAAGCCTAGCTTGTACCAATTTGGAGATGTTTTTGAAAATGTGTGGTATTGAAACCCCTGTGTTGTAATATACTGGAAACCCACGTTTGAAGGTGCAGGAGACCATTAAGTCTTCAAGCTTTAATTTAATAAGGGGTATTCAATCAAAGATCTCAGTGTTTCATTTCAAATTCATTTAGTTTGGGAGCATAAGGAGTCATGACTGCACCGTTCTGGAGAACTTCACATTCACACTCACCCACATCAGATCTGTATGATGATCCGATCAGTAGATAATAAAAGGAAATGCAGTCCAACTCATCTCTAATTTAACTGTATAATTGTTAAAACGGTAGATAATGTAAAAAAAAACTTAGTGCATGTCACATGAAGATTAACTATCACTCCATATGTATCACATATACATCATAACATTCCATCATCACCATCTGCAGGTAATATGAATACAGGCAGTCCAACTCATCTGTGACATCACAATTACGGGCTCCGCATAAAGGAATGAGGTGGAGCATCTTACAAGATGGTGCCTTGACAACAATCTGGCCTTGAATGTCATCAAGACAGAAGAACTCCGTCCTTCGGATGAGACGTAAAACCGAGGTCCTGACTCTCTGTGGTCATTAAAAATCCTAGGGCGTTTCTCGAAAAGAGTAGGGGTGTAACCCCGGTGTCCTGGCCAAATTTCCCTTACCAATCATGGCCTCCTAATAATCCCCCTCTCTGAACTGGCTTCATCACTCTGCTCTCCTCCCCACTGATAGCTGATGTGTGGGGAGTGTACTGGTGCACTATGGCTGCTGCCGCATCATCCAGGTGGGGCTGCACACTGGTGGTGGTGGAGGGGAGTCCCCATTACCTGTAAAGCGCTTTGAGTGGAGTGTCCAGAAAAGCGCTATATAAGTGTAAGCAATTATTATTATTATAACTCATTGTGGA